CTAGTTTATTCTTTCTCAGTTCAACTTTGCAATACACTTAATTTCCACAGTCACGGTAACTTAAACACACGTTATAATTCACAACGATTCACGCGCTTTACTTACGGCGCCAACTGCCCGCTTGACTCAACTATCCGTGTCTGTATCTTCAATCTCTCTATCTGCGATTCCAATTCCGATATATATATACAGTAAAAGCGCGCTTCTAGCAAACGCTAGGACGTTCGACAGGTTCCTCGATCTTTCTAGAACTCCAGCGCATGCTCCTAGCTTCGCGCGACTTCCGCTGTCCTAACAATAGTTTTCCTGTTATTTGTAAATTTATTACATGAAATACATAAAAATAGTACTTGAAACTATTTGAAACTCTAGACCTATCTTACTATAATGAACATATCGTGTATGTTAGTATTTATATATGTAACCAAAATTCCTGCGCTATCTATTGAATGGCACCACAAACAAAATCCATAAAAAAATTTACACTCTGGGTATTCAAGAATCAGACAATTATAAAAATAACTGTGGTATGTGTAACAACTATTTCTTTATATAAGAACACAATTTTAAATAAAAGTATTCTACACGACTTTCACTAGGACTGTGCGTGAGGGTTTGATTATATCTTTATTGGTGTAATTTTTAAATGTAGTACTGAGACACTGGAGTTCTTAAAAAAGCTAATATTTTTTGAATAGACGGTACTACTTTTAATATACAAAAACATTACAGTTTATATGAGTAAAGTTTATGAAAATTTTGAGCTTTGTACATTGAATCATTTTGATGCAATGAGTTGCGTATGACTAACGAGCACAATCCGAACATTTTTCCCGTGTAGTACTTCCCAGGCCCCCCAGTAGCACAGCGGTATGTCTGCGGACTTACAACGCTAGAATCCGGGTTTCGATACCCGTGGTGGGTAGAGCACAGATAGCCCTTTGTGTAGCTTTGTGCTTAATTACAAACAAACAAGTACTTCCCAGAAAAAATACTTTTTTAGAAAATGTTCACTTTTCTTTACAATTTTCAACAATGAGATATGAATACTACGATTGGTCATTACTAGCATAAACATCCACCTGTAAGGCGCCGTTTCTGCTAGTATTAGTAATCTGAAGTTGATTAACTTTTTTTCTATCACTTAGAGTTTAAATGCTCGTAAACGAGGGTTAGTTAACAACTTACAATCCAATTGTAACCAGAGTGATTAAACAAATGCAAGGAGATTCAATTTATGATTAAGCTAATTAAACTAGTAATCATTTGTGATTAAACTATAAACTCAGATATTACTGCAGACTAGTTTTTACAGAATGACGAATCACTTGTTTATAATATTATTTATGTTTGTAATTTGAAAGCAAGATTACTATTCTAAAATTATCAAGCTTTGACAAAAGTTGAATTTAGAACAAATTTAACGTTAATTCCCTGGATAAACCAAATCAATGAATAAGTTAACGTGCTCCAATTTCAAATGGTCAGAGTTCCCCCGTATTTTCAGTAGTTAGTTTACAACGCTACAATCCATGGGCTCGATTCCCAGTGAGGGACAAAGGGCAGATAACCAACCTATTGTGTAAATTTCAGTTGAAAAGAAGGAATTTGTGATGCTGATCTTAAATAGATAACATAGCATTCCATCACACGGTATGAAAACTTGTTGTATTAGGTGATCAAGGAATGTATGTCGCGTTTTGGAACACTTTATTTAACCACCCCCAAAAACGTACACCACGTATAATAGTTAAACGAACCGCCTAAACGTCACGTTAGTGTAGCCTATATAATGTGTGAAGTTTAATATACTCTAATCTACAGTGGAATGCCAGGGGCATTAAGGCTCATGCTCCATTCCTTATTCGTTACATTGAAACTCAC